AAAACATCTGAATAAGTGGCTAATACCGGTTTCAGGAAGGCTGGAGTGGAACTAGGGGTTGGGGTAGCTTCTATGGCAAATACGACACCTGTTAAATGTGAATAAGGGTTCTTGAGGAGCTGCTGGAAATGACACCCAAACAACATCTTACACTGCCCTTCTTTAGATAAACCCTGAAGCTGCAATGTTCCCCCTTCCACTCAAATGAAATTTGTCTCTGCTTAAGGTCCATTTTGAAAGGACTAATGGTTCCAACCAATCTCACCCTAAAACCAGATCGTGAGAAGGCAAATCCAATGTGCGAACATCAAACCCAAATTCTTGCCCTTGCATTTTCCAACTGAAACCCCTACAAACTGAGTTGCTAATCAATGTATGACCACTGGCTACTTTAACCCTCATAGGAGCAATACACTCAGTTTGGCAATTCAAATTTTCAGCCCTAATCGCATTCAAGAATGTATGCAAACTACTAGTGTCAATAAGGACAGTGACCTCTTTGTGGCCAGCAATGGCTGGAATGAGCAGGGAATTACCCGCAAACCCTAACCCCATAATCTGCAGAGAAACCTCAAGCTCTGCATCCTAAAATTCGTCCTCCATCCCCTCCTCATCACTCAATGAAGGAGATTCCTCAACCTGCATAACCTGGAGCTGCTTCTTTCTTGCACAGACATGGCCATGGAAGTATTTATCGCCGCATTTATAACAAAGGGCATGTCCTCGAGGAACGGGGGCGCTCGAAGGAAGAAACAGAAGGAGACGGGGACGGAAGTTTTGCGGAAACCGAAGCATAAGCACCTGCCTAGCGAGTGGACGAAGATGAAGACACTCTGGACTTCCTTTTGCGAGCATCAATAGCCACCTCCTCCAGCCGCGCTTGGTAGAACGCACAAGCCAGCGTAGGCAGATTCAGGACCTGCACCAGGGGTTGAATTTCATCATCCAATCCCCCCAAGAAACTGAGGATGAAGTAATGCTCGTTCAACTCCGGATTAAGACGAAGCATCCGCGAGCGCAATTTTTCGAACTCTTCTTGATAGCGAGAAACAGAGCTTGTTTGGCGAAGGTGATTGAAAGAGTCTACCACGTTCATCTACTCCTGCTTATCAAATTGATGGAACAATTCGTCGATGAAATGCCCCCAAATCAATGGAAAACGCCGGAAAGACCAGCCTTCGAACCACGTATAAGCCCTGTCTTCCAGATAATAAGAGACTAAGTCCACTTTGTGTTCTTCAAGAATCGAGTATAGCTGGAACAACTTGATGCATTTGCTAGCCCAAGCATGTGGATCGATGCTGGAGAAGTAAGAGAACTCGAGACGGGGGTAATGATCAAGAATCGATGAACGACGTTGCTGGTGACGGAAGTGCTGAGGCTCGTTGAAAGTCCCAGCATCGACGCATGGCGACAACTGAATCGGTGACTTCTCCCGTCCGCGAGCGATGGAAGCCGCCAATGCATCGATATTGTCTTTCGTTGACACAGCTAACACAGGAATGTCTTCCTTCAGATCCTGATACTGCGTACTAATCTGCACACGAACCCCCGCCATCTGAGTTTCTAAATCAACAATCCAAGGAGTGTGCGACGCCATTGCCGGAGTTCAGGTCTCTGATACCACTTGTAAGGATCTTGAATGGGGAATCTGGCGAATCTGGCGAATTTGGGCGAAAGGAAGAAGAAGAAGAGGATAAGAATGGAGCGGAAGAGAGTTTCAATTTTATTTCTAACTAACTAATTTGGTAAAGTAGGTACAATTAGTTGTTTGACAAAAGATGCCCAATCGTAAAACGTCTCTCCTATTTATACTTGTGTCTTTCTTTACACGTCACTCATCCAGTTGTCTCCCAATCTGTTACACAACGATACACCTTCCTCAATTTTCTAGCAAAAATCTCGTTGATGTTTCCCTTTCACTTTTTTCTCGGCATCAATGGGGAAATCGACCTCGCGTCTCGCTCTCGATCCGTACTCCGACATCAATGGCAATTTTTTATCAACGACAGAAGCTGGTCCGAAGCCGGATTTCGAGAGGGCAGGAGCAGTCTAATGATGGAGTTTGGAGGGAGTTGTGCGGACCGGCGTCGGAATTCGTTGGGAACTGGCTGGTATGATGTCGGAGTTCGGACGGAGACGCGTGGTCTTAAGTTGCAGGCCCGATCGCCAGTTTTGGACGGTTGCTGTCGGTGACAAAATCAATTAATTGATTAAATAACTTGGTAATAAAGGAATTGTCGGTCACCTTGATTAATCGACCAACTAACCGGTAATCGACCGGTTGGTTGTCGATTAACCGAGGATAATAAGTTAGTCGGTGTTCGATAGGGGGAGTGGTGGTTCGGTTAACCAATAACCGACCACTCGATTTTTGGTTATAAACGAATCGAACCAAACTCCACCCCTATGAATGAGGGTCGGTGTAGAGAAATGGGTCTAAGAGATGGTATAATTCAAATTGTTTACATCTCCAAATAATTCGAGTTATTAATTGAATCCAACCGATTCTCGACACAAATACCATAAAACTCTCACACTTCAACTTCTGATAAAAGAGAGGTTCTTGCATGCATTGGAGGCCGAAGAAAGTAGCCTCTAATTTTGTAGCTGAACCAACTACGTACAGCCAGTCGCCAGTTGTAGAACCCTTCTTTACACCTAGTTTTTTCTTAGTTGAACCATCTATAGCTCGCCATTTGTGAACCGTTTCTGCACCTCTTTAATGAGTTTTTTCTTTTCATTTTGGAGTGGTGGAGGTTTGTTGGAAGGAAGGTTGTCAACCCGCGGGTTGACCCGGACCCGGTTGAGCTAGTGGGTCAAGAGTTAATGGGTCACCCGTTTTAGCTCGGAAATATGAAAATAGTCATTATATTGTACTTATCCTGATAAATTATATCAAATTTTATCTAACATATGAGTAATAACATATACCATTACACCAAAGTAACATGTCATACTTAGATCCAACATATAGTGAAAATTCACACACACTTATATAACATCAATATTCAAATGTTCAACTAAGAATTCCAAAGATTGAGTTAGGTGAAAAGAAAAATCAGTAAATAGACGCATTTCGTAAACCAAAGAAAAAAATGACACAATTTGACCTCCAACCCGATACTTTGTAGCGATCGACGCAGCGGGTGTGTGCGACCTTTTTTTTACTGGATCAGTGTCAGAATGGAATGACTCGGGGTTGACAACCTTGGTTGGATGCCATGTCCAACAACCAGTGGAGAGAGAAGTAACGGCAAGGTAGCTAAAGTGAGCAGAGAAGGGAACCGCACACGTTGAGAGGGAGAGCCTGAAAATGGCAACAATCGAGGTGCAGTCCCCTGTTCCCATTTCCCACCCCCAAAACCATCCACACAAAAGACTACTTACACTACTAAAACCTCTTTTGGCGTTACCTTTGTAGATCATCAACGTGTCTACTTTCGAATGTAACGTATGGTACTAGCAGCATATGTAGTGAACAATTTTCTCACCAAAATTTTTTGTACTAAAATGTGTAGTTATAAGTTGAATTTGTATCATAATATTAAATGTATACAAGTTCAGTTTGTATCGTAAGGGTTTATGTACGAATATGTACAGGTACAAGTTGAATTTGTATCATAATGTCAAAGTTACAAGCCTAGCTTATACCATAAAAAGATTTTTATACGAAAATGTATGTGTACAAGTTGAATTTGTACTCTAAAATCAAAGGTACGAACTCATTATGTACCATTAAGAAATTCCTTTATAAACGAGAACAATGATACTACCAAACATTTGGATTTCCTCTGGTTATCGAATGCATCAGGTTGGATATCCCCACGAATGATCTCAATCTCAACGATCGACTTACTCACAAAGTATAGCGCGTCGTTTGCAAACTTTTAATCCTTTTTGGTTGGCTTCCGTTTGAGAGCGAGGACAAAAGAGCAACAGAAAGAATCATCGGACTCGGATCGATCTCTTCCGAACTGGATGGCGACGAATTAATAAACGACAAATGAGATCGCCATGAGATTCAACTCGTGCGCATAGCGTGATATAGGGGATTCGACGACCAATCACCATTCCGCATCTTCATTAATATTTTCTCGACGACTACTTTTTAGTACGAAATTAAAGAACGAGACAATCAACCCTACATGCAAAATAGTGGTTTTGACATTTTTTTTAAATATTTTTTTGTTTTTGTTTTACTTTCTCCAACAAATCGAAGGTTGAGGCAGAGGAAAAGAAGGGGAGCCATCAATTTCTCACACGTCTCTTCCTCGTCTCCCCTAAAATCCTCCCAACCAACACTCTCTTCCCAAACCTCTTTTACTCCCCAACTTAAACTCGTCTTCTACTTTTGTCCTCTTTCTCCCCGGCTCCCTTTCGTATGGTCAATTGCACCGTTGGTGCTCGACTTCCGTAGTGATAATCGAACCCATCACTTAAATATCAAATATTGAACATTATAACCCCGGCTTAATTTCACTCCATCCAATCATAAGTTTACACAATTACACTACCTCGTTCTTCAGACTTCTCATAAGCAAAAGATCAAACATCGATCAAGTCGAGTCATTTCGAATCGATTTCACAACAAAAGTATATCAGAACCGATTCAGTCAACCAGAATACTATCTAAATAATTTAACACGCGTGATAAAAATTAATAATCAACTTCAATTGAGATCTCGTGATTCGTACTCACTACGTGAGTAACTGAAAGTAAATTTAAATCGTATCGAGCTCGATGTTAAGGAAAGGAAAGGGCACATACGATTCTACTTTTGTTAGCGCTTTGTGTGGTAACAAATTCACACCTTATATAGTAAGTAGAACAATAGAGTCGTTCTACAAAGCTTTAATCAGCTGTATTTTGACTCCTTTGTACCAATTCTAAAGTCTGATGACTAATTCGTTACTACCAACAAAAAGAGGTATCAGGACTGTAATGTGTAGCCTCCTTTTCCACTATATATAATCAGTCCTTGTTATTGAAAACCCCAAGAAATCGAAAACCCCCAAATCAAAACAAACACTACTCCTCTATCTCCTCTGTTTTCCATCTCCGATCTCCCTTTCTCCGTCGGAGAAAGAGGAAAAGAGGAAGAAGAAAACCGCAACAGCCTGCGGCAATGGCTTCCGGATCGGCCGCGGCGGACGGGTTCTTCAGGAATTGGGTCTTCGAAGGCTCGCTGTCGGGCGCCGACTACGGGATCGAGCGGCGGCCGTACCACCGCAACTGCAAGTGCGCGCTCCACGAAAAATCCCGCGACGGCGGCGGAGGCGGAAGTTGCGGGAACTGCAAGAACACCGTCTCCTACAAGATCCGCCGCTCCTGGAGCGAGGGCTCCCTTGCTCTGGCGTCGGCGGCGACGTCCGGTGCTGGATCCGGATCGTCCCCTTCGTGTTCGTCCAATTCGTCTCCTCACGCCGCCGGGCACGGACTTCCTCCATCGCCGTCGTTGCAGGCCCTCGCGCGGAGTATGAGCAGAGACGATCTTGCGTCTTACTCCGGGAGCAGATGAAAGGCGGAAGGAAGATCGAGATCTGCCGTCTCCGGCCAGCTGGAATCAAATCAAATGTGGGAATCTAATTTAGAAGGAAATGTAAAAAAAAGGAAAAAAAAAAGAGGAAAGTTACAGTTTGGTGCTTGTCTTCTCTCTTCGTTGCTAATCCGGTCCTTGATCTTTTGTAGAGGGGAAAAATTGCATAAATGTCAGGTGTAGACAGTAGGGCTCTGTTTCTCTGTTCTGGCCTTAATTAGGTGTTGGTGTTGTTAACTCTGTTCGTTCATTGTTAATATAAGTACATGGGACTCCTTGTTATCTCTGCCATAGCAGCATACATTACTCGTTGAATTACGTCGAAAAGCTCGAATTCGCGCCGACTGATTGTTCGAATGAGTATAGCTAATGTAAGTTCTTCATAATGATCTTGGGATTAACATCACATGATGGATGATTAATGGTCACTGTTGATTAATTAGTAGGGTGATTAGTGGTTTAATTATGGTTTAAGGGCAGAGGATGGGGAGCCACACTGCTCACTAGCCAGCCAGAGCCAGGCTAATCCCAGCTGCTGGAGGGAAGATGCTTGCTTAATAGCGTATTCTACGTGTTGGTGGTCGGCTGCCTACTTCCTTTTTCCTTCTTTTATCCCGTTGGAAGGAAAATCTTCGACCTAGATTTCGTTGTAGTAAACAAAATTTACATTTGTTCCTCTCTGCTCTTTTTAAGCGGCGTTGGAGGAGTATGAGAGATGAGAGGTATTAGATCATTTCCGACTTTTGTAGTAGGTTCTTGGTTGTTTAAGTCAAGTATAATAAATCGAAACCATATCTTTTATATTTCGTTGGTGATCGATTCTCTCGGATAAGAATGTGAGTTCGTTCTCACAACACCATTATAGGAGGGTGTTTCAAAGCTTGTGAATGTTGATATGTATCTCTCAGCTCAACTCTTGTAAGTGTGCCAAATAGATTCCTAAATATGAAGTTATTTCCTTCCTATTGAAAATTAGCAAATAATGAAAGGGAGAAAACAAAGCTTGAAAGATGCATGTGCTTGTTTTTTATTAAGGGAAGAAGAAGAAGAAGAATAGTCAAAAGAAGACAGCCAGCCCAAAAGTATGAGACACCCAACTAAATAAGGCAACCAACCATAAAACCATATTCTTGGTGTTATATATATATATAAACATATACAAATGAATTAACTACAAATTAGGATATTATGGCTTTACAACTCTGCACGTTCAGCTGTTGCACATACCTGGCCGATCTTTTTGGAGAAAGAAACCAGCATCTCTGGCTATCCTCCCCCACCATATGGGAATCTGCATGTTACACATCTGACGAGTTAATCGCACGAAAAAACCATTTTAAATTCGAGTCCATTAGTAATACGATTGTAGTGTGATAATGAAACTGGCACTTAACCTCAAGATCAAGTTGAGCGTATACAAAATTTAGTATTATTATCGCTCAGGGTGGCATGATGATCTATACGATTCAGATGGAGATGGACGGAAATGAAGATTATGATATCTTTCCTTAGTACGAAGGTAAAGGACTTGTTTGGTACAAACTAAAATGCGTTGTCTATCTTTGTAGGAGAACTAAAATTGAGTGACCATTTTATGTAATTGACCCTCCCACGTTATATTGTTCTATTTTTCTGGATCTAGGCCATGAGCCCATATGTCGAGAAAGGCACAAAACAAAAAGCCTTGTTCTTGTGGCACACTGCACTACACTACACATGGTCGGAAGCAAAGAGGAACCATCCATTTAAGCCATGTGATCCAAAATGTGTTGGGCTCAAAGTCCGTGACCCACTGACAAACTAATATAATTAGAGTATTAGGGATGACTAGCAATTAGTGGGTTGGAGCCAGGTAGGGCTGGGAAACGGTGCGGTCTGGTCCAGACCAGACCATCTATACGGTCTATGGTCCAGACCGAGAGGCTAAAGTATAGACCACGGACCAGACCACAAGCTATACGGTTCGGTCCAGACCATGCCTGTGCGGTCTGGTTTGGTCCGATCTGGTCCAGATAGATCACACTCAACGAAAAATGAATAATTTGTTTAGTCAACCACACAAAAAATTGAACCAATAACCAGGAAAAATAATTGTTATTTGCCTTAAATCATTAATCTTAACATGCATGAATAATTTTGATACTCTAAATCTTAGTACATACCAAAGATACAAAGTAAAAGCATCCCAACTTGCACCATAACGTCATAAACATTAACATAATGTCATATGGATACACGATTATCTCTACTCTCTAGTTAAATGTGGTTGTGAATTAAGGAGGGACGAGATTCACAAAACTAAGGTAGAGACTTGGGTGTCGTTTTGGGAGTTGGGAGAGTGGTCGAATGGGCTGTTAACACGTATTTACAAGTCAGTTGGGTCCACGGTTTGGTCCGGTAAACCGCGGTCTAGACCAGACCAGACCAGACCAAGAGATCAAAATATAAAATAGTACAGACCATGGACCAGACCAGACCACACTTAACGGTCTACGGTCCGGACCAAACTGCACGGTACGGTTTGGACCAAGGTTTTTCTAACGGTCTGGTCTATTTTCCCAGCCCTAGAGCCAGGGGTGACTGGGATGGCAATGGGTCGAGTTGGGGTGGATTTTGTCAAATCCGAACCCAAACCCATGGGTTTATCCGCCAAAAAAATCTGGGGTAAAACTCGTTGGGTTTGAAAAACTCAAACCCAACCCAACCCGCTGGGTATCCGCGGGTTCATGGGTACCCGTGAGTTTTTGTGGTAAAATTTTTACAATAACAAGTTTCTTTCAAAATAAAAGTTTAACATCAATTTTCTCATACAAATTAATCATACAAAAAAACACCAATCTAGAGCATACAAGCAAACCGCAAATGATCAATACAAATTGTTCAAAATTAAAGATAAACATCTATAAACAAAAGATTAATTGAAATCTTCTTCCTCGTCAACTAAGTTTCTTCACTCTCCACTTCATAATATCAACTTCATTCTAAACAATTAGAAAGAACAAATTATACATGTCTCCACAAACATAAAGAATATTAATTGTTTAAGGAAAATATATTATTTAGAATATTAAATATACCGGGAAAGTAATTATATGTGTGTGGGCGGGTACCCATGGGTCGGGTTTACCTAAACCCAAACCCAACCCGACCTGGTGAATAGTATAGCAGATTTAAACCCGAACCCGGCCCAAAACCCGTCAACTCGGATTTTACCCGCGTTGACCGGGTTGGGTCGGGTGGGTACCTGTGGGTTCGGGTTTTGTTGCCATCCCTAGGGGTGAGCACGTAGATGGTTAATTCGCGGATATATATCGATCCACCCGCAAATAAACCGACCCGCAAGCAGTGGGTGATTGATGCGGGTAGATTGTGGATTGATAAATCTCCCACCCGCACTCACGTGAGTGGGTGGTGGGTGGATGCAAATTATTGTTAATATCCATTAAATATTGGATGAAAACTTTAAATTATTAATCTTATCAAAATCACAAAATGCATAAGTTTTCTCTACACAATTGGTTGATAGAGTATTAAAATTGTTTTATGCAAATACTACATAAATTCACTTAGGGGTCATTTGAATTAAGGTTTGTAGTGAGGGATTTTAAAACAATCTCTCATTATACAGAATTTTAATACAATCATGTGTTTGGCAAAACGAGAGATTGTGAGTATTAGAGATTTCAAAATCTCTCATATGGAGGTTTTTAAAATAGCTGATGGGTATTAGCTATTTTACCATCCCTTATTTTTTATTGCATTTTTCCATAGCCTACTCTCCTCCATCTTGAATTATATCTCTTCTCAGATCAGCTTCCGACTTCTTCTTCTTTCTTTCTGCGACCATCCTCAGCCGACAAGAACAATGAAACAATCACTGACCTCTAACGGCGAAGGATAAGGATTGTGGCGGATGTCATTGAAGGGAAGCTAGGATCCCCCTCCCCTCCTGACCCCTACATGCATCTTACTTCCCCGCAACTGAAGAAGGCAGCTGCTCAAGCAATCGCCGTCGACGGTGATTCAGAGATGGGTTTTGGCGACGGGGAGATTGCAGGTTCTGCGTAACTAGGTTTGTAAGGAAGAAGACGACGAGAAGAACGGTGGAGGTTTTTTTGGCCATGAATCTGTTAGGCGGTGAAGGTTTTGTGCCGATTCCTGTTCGAATCGAACCCGGAGCCCACAACTCGACTTCTCTCGAGCACCTCACTGCCACTCGATGAAAACGACTCTAGTCATAAATTGCAGCGATTGCAAATGGAAGAAGATGCTACCGCAACACTCAATCGTCGACGGAAGATCTTGTTTATGGGTTTCTTCAAGCTTCTAGAGTTGTTTGGGAGCTACGATCCGAAAATGGTGTTGATGGGAGTTTGACGGAAAATTGGAGGCGGAGAGAAAGATTGACCCGGCAGAGATTGGACCCAAATCACATGAGAGCAGGGGCGGATACATGGAGGTTTAGGGGTGTCAAAATTTGGAAAAACGATTATCCAACTATCGATAGTAGTTTTTGTATGGGTAAAAAAAATTTAGTGATAGTGGGACACCCTTAAAATATGGAAAATGATTATCCAACCTCCTATAGTATTGTGCATATGAGTACAAATAATATTTAAGTGATAGGGTCTGTGTGATTTGAACTTGGGAACACTGCTACTATTAGTAAATATAGTTTCAATTAGGCTACAACAGATCAAAATATAATAGTAAAGGACTATTCTTATTCCCAATTATTTTCAAACCCTAACGATTAAACCCAATTACGGGTTACCCTTGTCTAGTAGGATATGTCACGAGAGATGTGTTGAGCTGTGTATACACCGAATGTATTTTACCATTCTTTCATAATACGAAACAAGTTTGAAAATTTATTCTAACTTTTACTAGTTGAATATTTTCATATTTAATAATTATTTGATTTAATTTTTAATTTTTTTGAAGAGGACATCCCTATTTAAAATTTCCGAATCCGCCACTGCATGAGAGACGCCGTCATTAATAGTGGGATTTGTTGATTCTTCACCTCTGCTCCTCAGGCGAACGTGGTCGGGGATTTTCATATTGAACAGCGGCATCCGGGGATTGATGGAGGAGATCCGGCAGAGAAGATGAGAGGATGAAGAAGGAACGAAGAAAAAGGGGTAAAAGAGTAATTGAGCTAAATTGGGTTAAATCTCTGATTAATTGCCAAACAAAGAATTGGGCTAAATCCCTTGTCCTAAATTTCCAGGGTTTTTAATTAGAGATTTGAGCCTCGAATCTCTCATTTTAAAATTCTTAATCTAAACGACCCCTTAAAAAAAAGGGATAAATTTTTAAATTGGTAAAGTCTTACTAATTTACTATGAACTTATTATAAATTTTAGTAAGCTTTCTTAATTGCTAGTTGGGGAATTGGTTTTGCGGGTTAACCCACGACCTAATCACTCATTCGTCACCCACCCAACCTGACCCGTAGAAGAATGTGGGTGAATTGCGGGTCACAATTATTCCAACTCGCTAGTAAGCGGGTGGGTCAATTTGAAACGAAAAACCACCCAACCCGCCCATTGCCCACCCCTAATTGGACGGTTCTTATGTTAAAATACATTCATCCAAGATTTTGGCATGTGATTGAAAAACTTATCCACACCAGCTATTTTTATCGCTATGGGTGGGGTGATGGCAGATGGTGGGTGAATGTTGGCGGTTTTGTTTGATTAATTTTTAAAATAATTATAAGATCGTTATGGTACATGAAAGCTTTCAATAAGCTACTTAGAATATCAAAGCTACAAAACTCATTTAAATTTGA